AGCTGTTGGTAGTTCGCGCATTACTTCTATACCACAGCCTTCCTCTCCAACGTGGCTTAGATAGCTCTCCTCTCTTTAATTTTATTCTGTAGAACAGGTTAGGTCACTCAGCAAGCTTCCATGGTAAAGAATGGATTCAAACCTGGGTCTCCAAGGTCCTAGCCTAATCACTACACCCCAAGTGTCCCCTCCTTACTTATATCCTAAGGACTGGGTCTCAGAGAAACACTGTCTGGATGATGCAGCAACCTTGCTGAAGTTCCATAGGTCTTGCTCTGGATGCAGGGAATCCGATGTAAACTGCTTCCTGTATTGAGCAGGAGGTTGGACAAGATGATCTCTCTGGTGCACCCTTGTAACCCATTAGGAAGAAACCTGAGAATCAAAAACACAGGGATTCCAAGTCTATCTGAAGAACAGAGGAAACAATTGCAGCATTTATTGAGCAAAATGCTGCTATGAATCTACTTGGAAATAAGTCATTTGGCAGGACCTGTCCCTGCGATGTTCCTTTTGTTTTCTGCATGAGTATTTATTTACTTCACTGATACTCAAAGCAGATTACAAAATGTAGAAAGCAATTCAAACAAGCAGCATAAAATATCCAATAAACAATGCACTGGGACTAGGATTATGTAATTGGAAAACAATGCAAACAGAAACTGTTTTAAGGCACAAGATCCCAAAATACAGAAAGGGAATTAGAAGACAATGCAGTAAAAGGAAGGTGGCACATACATTAAGGTTGCCGATAGACTACAACCCTCTTCCCTTTCAAAAGCAACTCCCTCAGTCATTCCATTGTTCTTCAGTTTTTATTTCCTTATAAAAATGTCCTCCGGAATACTTCTATGTTTCACATTCTGTGAGAAGTGTGGGAACCTTCCTGACCTCCTCAGGAAGTTCCAGAAGCTGGAAGCTAGCACAGAGAATGTGTCTCAGTGAGTGGTTGCAGGGTGGCACCTCAGAAGACTTTGCTCAAGCGAGTGAAGCTGTCATGGCAAGGCATAGCAGGAGGGAGGCCCTGTAGGTATTTGGCTTCAAGGCCATGGAGGGCTTTGTAGGTGATTACCAGAAACTTCAATTGAACCTAGTAACTGATCAGCAGCCAATGGAGTGCCTGCAGAATGGGTGTGGCATGCATACTTCACCTAGCTCTAGAGAGAAACTGAGTTGTGATGTTCTGTACCAGTTGAAATTTCTGAGTTGTCTTCAACGGCAGACCCATGCAGAGCACATTATGTAGTCCAGCCTTGAGGCTAGCAATGCTGAAGAATCCCCCCCATTCCACTCCCTGCTTGTCCCTATTCCAAATTGCTTTCTTTTTCAAAAGAAGCTATTCGTATTTTTGATACATAGTTTTGGTGATGTTGAAAATAGTTTTTAATTTTTTCCCAAATAACTGTTTTTTATTGGAGAGGTAGAATACCATCTTGGGTTCTTGACCTTAACCCCAGATTAGGTGGGTGAAAAAGGAGAGATGGCTTCAGTTGTCATTGTGCACATGCTCAGAGCATTCCCTTTTTATTATTAGCCTGCCTGAGGTCTGAGATGCTTTTGGGGCCCTGCTTCTGGGTCAGGTGGCCAAAAAGGACAGGGTCTTTTCTGTTGCAGCACCTTGTTTTTCAGTGTCTTCTGCCTAATTTTGCATCTGGTGCTGAACTTTTTAGCGAATAAAACAATTGTTCTCTTCCTAGGGCCTGAATTTACACTGGCCGCTCTGGACTACCTTGGTTGATGCCCCTTTATGTAGTTCTATACTATTATGCACAAATCTGTAGTTTGACGTATGTGTGTTAAGTGCTGTCTGTTTCTGACTTATGGAAACCCTATGAAATCAATGTCCTCCAAAATGTTCTGTTGTCAACAGCAATTCTCAGGTCTTGCAAACCAAGGGCCATGGCTTCCTTTATTGAATCCATCCATCTCATCTTAGGTCTTCCTCCTTTCTTGCTGCCTTCAATTTTTCCTAGCATTATTGTCTTTTCCAGTGAGTCTTGTCTTCTCATGATGTGACCAAAGGATGATAGCCTCAGTTTAGTCCTTTTAGCATCTATGGAGAGTTCAGGCTTGATTTGATCTGTAACCTGCTTATTTGTCTTTTTGGCAGTCCACAGAATCTGTAAAGCTCTCCTCCAACACCACATTTCAAAGGAATCAGTTTTGTTGCTGTCCATTTTCAACTTCCACACCCATACATAGTAATGGAGAATACTATGGTATAAATTATCTTGATTTTGGTTATCAGCGGCATGTCTTATCCTTAAGAATCTTTTCTAACTCCTACATGGCTGCCCTTCCCAGTCTCAATATCTTTCTGATTTGATCCATCACTACTTATGATAAAATGGTTGGTATCCTATGGTGCTGGAGAAGACTCTTGAGAGTCCCTTGGACTGCAAGAAGATCAAATCAGTCAATCCTAAAAGAAATCAACCCTGACTGTTCCCTGGGAGGCCAGATAAGGAAACTGAAGTTCAAATACTTTGGCCACCAAATGTTTTTTTTACTGTTTCTATTGTATTTTTAAATAGAAGCTACTGCAGATGAATGTTTGGAGAATACATATATAGATGCACTGGGTAAATATGCTCCATGCCCTCTGACTGAATTATTGCATTCTTTAGGAATCTTATAGTGCAATAGAACAAAGTTTGAGTTCAGTGGCACTTTTAAGATGAACAAAGTTTTATTCTGGGTATAAGCTTTTGTGTGCACGCACACTTCTTCAGATACTCAAACTTTGTTCTGCTGGTTCAGACCAACACGGCTACCCACCTGCATCTATTATTATTATTTATTAAATTTATGAATCGCCCAATCCCACAAGTGGGCTCTGGATGATTTACAACCTCAAAAGTGATTAAAATATAATGGACATAACTTTATCACAATGCACTAATAAATCAACCAGTCCAGATGGCAATAAGACCTCTTTTGCCAACTACAGTGCTGTCTGCGCAGCAGGGCAGGGAAGGGGATGCGGGGGCCATGGGAAGAAAGAGGAGGGTGCAGTCTTAACCATCGCTACCCTCAATCAAAAGCCTGGTGGAACATCTCTGCCTTACAGACCGTGTGGAATTGCATATGGTCCCGCAGGGCCCTGATGTTGTTCGGCAGAGAATTCCACCAGGTTGGGGCCAGGACCGAAAAGGCCCTGGCCCTAGTCGAGGACAGCCAGACCTCCCTTAGGCCAGAGATCACCAGCAAGTTGTTATCAGCTGATCTCAGCATTCTTCTGGGGACATATTGAAGCAGGCAGTCCTGAATGTACATGGGTCCCTGACCGCTCAAGGCCTTAAAAGTCAACACTAATACCTTGAACCTGACTCAGTATTCCACCAGCCACCCATGTAGCTGGCACAGCACAGGATGTATATGTGCTGTCCATGGCACTCCCGCCAGGACTCAGGCTGCCGCATGCTGGGCCTTGTTGGAGCTTCTGGGTCAGTCTAAAGGGCAGGCCAGCATAGCGCGAGTTACAGTAGTCCAGTCTGGTGGTGACTGTTGCCAGGTCAGGGCACGACGGGAAAGGGGCCAACAGCCATGCCTGGTGTAGATGGTAAAATGCCAGTCTGTCAGTATTAGTGACCTGTGCCTCCATAGACAGGGAAGCATCAAGGTCACACCCAAGCTCCTGACAGAGTGCAATGGTGTTACTGGCACCCCGTCAATGGCTGGAAGCAGAAACCCCAGTCCCGAAGCCCTCCTCCCCAGCCACAGAACCTCCGTCTTCCCCAGAATCAGTCTCAGCCTGCTCTTCCGTAACCATCCCGCCACAGCCTCCAAACCCTCAGCCAGATGTTGCGGCGTGGTATCCGGGTGGCTGTCCAAGAGCAGATATGGCTGGGTGTCATCTGCATATTGATGACACCCAAGTCCGAAACTCGGAGCCAGCTGGGCGAGGGGGCACATAAACAAAATCGGAGCGAGGATTGCCCAGAGGAACTCCACATAACAGTAGGAACCTAGAGGACGTCTCTCCCCCCACGCAACCTTCTGTCCCCGACTACGGAGAAATGAGGAAAACCACTGCAGGGCTATCCCACGAATCCCCACTTGGGCGCAATGTTTTTGAAACACTATTCTCAGTTTGGTATGAGGAATTAACCATTGCACAGAATACTTGGGGGGGGGGGGGAATCACCAAATCCACGGAATACCATTTAGTAGGACCAAAATGCGCACGCGCGCGGCAACGCACTACCTTCCATTTATTCTGACTGGTCCCAATGAATGATAACGTGTTGGCTTTTGCCTAATTGCCTAAAGTCATCTGGTGGTTAAGACGCTGAACTGCAGGCTGTGGAAGGTCAGTAGTTCAGCAGTTCGCGACCCGAGTGTGCCGCATGACGGAGTGAGCTCCCGTCTCTAGTTCCAGCTCCTGCCAACCTAGCAGTTCGAAAGCAAGACATTGCAAGTAGATAAATAGGTACCACTTCGGTGGAAAGGTAGCGTTCCGTGCACCTTGGTGTTTAGTCATGCTGGCCACATGACCACGGAAACGTCTTCGGACAGCGCTGGCTCTTCGGCTTTGAAACGGAGATGAGCACCGCAACCCTAGAGTCGGATTCGACTGGCTTTCGAGCAAGGGAACCTTTACCTTTAATATATACGAATGTGGGTGTAAATAAGAAGAAAAATGTTTTATGGACCACACAGCTGTGTGTTGCGCATTCTGCATACCGAGAATGACGCCCGAAGTAAATTCCATAAGGGGATGTTACACAAAAAGCAAGTGACGAAGCGCTCCAGAATTCTCAGTCACCCGATCAGCGGGACGAAGCTCTCTCTGCGTTTGTTTCGGGAAACGCCGCTTTCGGTCATGACATCACGCGCCCGTACGCGCCGATTGGCCAACTCTCCTCCAGGCGCGCCTCATCCCCTCCCTCGAATGGAAGACCATAGAGTCGGCCCGGGCAGCTTCCAGAGCGTCGCAGACGACACTCCGGAAGAGAGTCCCTGTCCACCTAGAGATAGCGCTCTATGGTGCGCGGGTGGTGGGGGGGATGGATTTACGTTAAGACCGGGAGGGAGGAGAAGCGGCAAGATGGCGGGAGCGGAGTGAGTGGCTTCTCTTCAGGGCTTCCTTATGGGAGGGCGCGCGTATGTGGCCGTATTCTTGACAGGGCTTCAAGGAGAGACGCAGGGCAGGAAGGTGCCTTGCGGGCAGTACAATAGGCGCAGATAATACCAGCGTGGGTGGGAAGGGCAGGTAAAGAGCGCCTTGCCCGAGGGTTGTGACGTGGATTTAGACAAGGCAGGTCATACTGTCTGGCAGGTGCCCTAATCCTGGGCTTATGTCACCAGAGTAGTATCTCGTGAAATAGTAGTAACGATAATATTTAATATTTGTCTACTTCTTGCAGTGCTCAAAAAGCATCACAGTCATTATCACACCATTCCTCACAACAGCCCCGTCAGGTAAACCAATATGGTTATCCTCACATGATAGAAGTGGGACTAGGGCAAGCTCCACCCCCTTCAGCGTGAAGGTGAGATTTGAACTGGTAGCCAGATTGCAGTAGAGGTGAGATTTGAACTGTTGAGCTCCCAGTTTGCAGTTCTGCTCCTTAGCTGCCACAGTACACCAGCTCCTGTATTAGTTTGGTGATAGCTTCTTGGGCCCCCCAGGGCCCAGCATTAGATACTGTTTTCCATGCTGCTGCAGGGTACTCTATACTGAAACATGAACTAATAATTAAAAAGTGGCTCTAAACATGTGTGGAGTGCTTTTCCCATGCTTTCGAGGGTATGTTCATGCACATGAGGTTCATGTTGGGTTTTACATGTCTATGTAGTGCAAATATTAAATTCACCTTCAACAGACTGCTACACGATGCTTAACATTTTACTTGGTGCATTATCTCCTATGTTAACAATATCCATGTATACATTCAAATACTGTAAGAAAGTCACATAGTTGCTGCCTGTGTTGTGTGAGAGCACTCTTAAATTCCCACAGACCGCTGACAGCCTCCTGATCACAAGGTCCGATTCCAGCAGAGGAGATGTCATATAGGAGTTCAACAGATTCAAGCCAATGTTTCTTCTGACTTTTTCTTCCTAAGAAATTTATCTAGACTGCATTCCCATGGTATCTTCAGGAGAGATAAAGAAAATACTGACCTCTGCTGTTTCTATGGTTGGTTGAAGATGCTATTTGATGGGCCAGGTAGAGTAACAAGATGAGAAGAACAGAAAATCTCCACCAGTTTCATAGCTAGCACTTGTGTGCTACCTTCAGCTGCTAAAACATTTCTGGCAGATGAAGCAGTTGTATATGTGAGAATACCTAGATGGTTTGGAGAGAAATGTGGCTCAGGTACGCTCAAGGTTGCAGGCCTATCACCTGTACTCCCTTTCCTTGACAAGGTTGCAATATTTTTAGATTTTGGAGTTGTTTGCATTGGGTACAATCAATTACACCCCCTTCCTGCAGAAAGAGAAGTGCTTCTCCAATGTCTTAGTTGAGAAGGAGTGGATGGTTTGCCTCATGCTCCTTTCCAGCCTCAGTTAAGCCTCTGCAGTTGGTTTGGGGGTCTCTTAGACTGGAAGGAAGATGTTATCTGTCTGATTCGTCTGTGTTTACGCAAAACATCTCCTCAAATGAATGGGGGATATTAAGTAATTTGGGGAAGGCTTTGTTTGGTGGTGCTGGTGGCTGACCTAAATGCCCTTCCTGTGATTTTTTAAAAAATGGCATTGTGGATCAGGTCAGAGACTGATCTAGCCTAGCCTTTAGTGTTTGAGTGCAACAATTAGGATGCCCTGAGATTTGGGAAGCTGAAGCAGGCCATGACAGAGCCAGCTATTTGGTATTGTTTGTCCTCAGAATACAGTTGTTCTGAATATTCCCTGTGAACATGGAGATACCATTCTTATCTGTTCTGCATAATAACTTCCCACAGGCATATCCTCTGTTTCTTGGAGTCTGTCCAGTATCACATGACAGGATCCTCTTGTGGTCATGTAGGACTATTTTGTTCCTTATCAAAGTTGCATATGTTTCTGTTTGTTTCTGCCACTCCTGAGAAGATATTCCTGTTTGGCTGCCTGCAGTGAATGCACAGCTACCACACTGTAGCATCACATGACTCTGCATCTTGGGGGTAATAAAACATTGTCTTAAAGGACTCACTGCCCCATATCAAAAACTGCAGCATTGCCGCTCACTTGTCTCAGCTACTTCATTGCATATCGTGAGGTTTCTAGCAATGCTCCCTCTAAGCTGTGGAGTCTTGTGAGCAAAAATTCTACTTTGTGAGCTACTGGCATTAAAGTTGTGAGCAAGCCATTTGGCTACTGCATAAATTAGTTTGCTCTGGAGTCGTCCTTCCTGAGCTAAGACAAAAATGTGTGAGCCAGGGGCTAAAGAACTGTGAACTAGCTCACACTAACTCAGCTTAGAGGGAACACTGGTTTCTAGTATTGTCTCCGGTTCCAGCTTTGGGCTGTGTGGAAAAACCCTGAGAAACCTTTTGTATTTCCCTGCACTGTTTGGGGAAGCTTGATCCTGAGTTGGTAGTGAAGTGGAATGACCTTCTGTAGCGGAGGGCAGTGCAAACAAATGCAACAAACGTTCAGCCATGGCTTCCCATAGCGTCACTGTTCCATTATCACCATGCCGGTGGAATGATGGAGCCTTACTCACACAATTATCTCTCTCTGCTTTCTGCTCCAAATATGTAACTCAGCATGTTGGCACGGGTGGGGATTTCTACATCAGACATGGAGAACCTACAGCCCAGACAACCTCCGCTATAGATTTATGCACTGTGCCCTTATTCCAACTTGTTTTGGTTGACACTGTGCTGGAGTTGTTGCCGCAGACTCAACATATGATGCTTCTGGAGCCGAACTTTTCCTTAAACCACTGTATCTTTATGGAAATAGAAAATCACAAGCTTCCAAGAGAGAAAGTAGTGAGTAATGGGACTGGATGAAAGAGTAACCAGGGCAGGGCTTGGTATATGTACCAAACCATATAGAGAGTAGTACGTTAACAAGATGTGTCCTTTTGTCATATTCATTGTGTACCAAGGGTTACACAGATGAAAGTTCCAGCGAAAGTTCAAGAACCAATCACTTCCAGATTGGACTATTGTAGATCTCTCTACACAGGGCTGCCCTTGATTCTGCTCTGGAAGCTGCAGCTGGTGCAGAATGCAGCATCATGGGTGTTGACTTCATCACTCTGTGTGGACACAGATCCTCCCGGTGCTGGCTGCCTGTTGCGTACCAGATCCATTTCAAGGTGTTGGTGCTCACCTTTAAAGCCCTATACGGCCAGGGGCCTGCATATCTGCAAGACCGCCTCTCCCTCCATGAGCCCTGAAGGACTTTACAGTCTACCAGCCAACATCTTCTGGTGGTCCCCCAGCCCCAGGGACATCTGTCTTTTTCAGTCCTGGCCCCTACCTGGTGGAATGAACTCCCATATGAGAGCAGGGCCCTGTGGGACCTTTTACAGTTCCACAGGGCCTGCAAGACGGAACTCTTCCACCAGGCTTTTAGTTAGGACGGTGGGTCTCCCCCCCTCTTTTGGCCTCCCCTTAGTGGGTCAGATCTGTATCATAATCTAAAGACCCAAACTCTAAATAGACTGCATCTGTGAGGCTTAGACCATGATTTGTACCATAGGAATGTTGTTGTATTTTATTGTGGTTTTTAATTGTTTTTAATTCTGTGTATATTGCATATTGGTTACTGTGTCTGATGGAACCCGCCCTGAGCCTGCTATGCAGGGAGGGCGAGATACAAATCCAATAAAATAAATAAAGGCCCCGGTCACACGGAGCATTTGCCCCTCTGAAGGCACGGGAGTCCCGCGGAGTATCCGGGCGTGATCACACGGGAACATCTGGGAGGCGTAGCACTCCCGTGGCAAACCCATGGCAAGCTGCCGAAGCAGCGCAGTGAAAAACTAGCACACCGCATGTGCTAGCAAACGCTTTGCCACGGGCCGCCTATGGAAGCCTCCCAGTGTGATCGTGCCGGCGCGCGGCTAACTCCCCCGTCCTCTTTGCTGCAGGGAAGCCGCCGTCACGTCTGATTGCATAATAGCGCATCAGAATGCGACGGCGCAAATAGCTGCGCTCCCCCCCCCCGCATTTTCCGGCACGTCTGGCCGGGGCCAAAATAAACCAAAAGGGCCACGTGACTATCGTATGTCATGTGCACTGCCCCACCAAACACACATGTTCAAACAATACAAGATGTAGCTCTTAATATTGCATGTAATGATAACTTTTAAAATTACCAGAATACCTGTGTCACACATACCATTGATTCTCCCCACTGCTGCTGAACCTTAGCCATCCGTTGTGTATCTGGAATAAGAGGAAGGACTTCCCTGGTTGCTTCATTCCTCAGCATGAGACACAGCAAGTCAAGTGCGAGCAAGATTGCCAAGGTGCCTGGAGGATACCCAGCTGCCTGTGGACAAGGTGGAGTAAAAACCACCACCACCACCACCCTCCACTCTTTTCCTGGATGGTTGCTGTGGTGGTTTTACTCCCTCTTCTCTGTAGTCAGCTCGCTCTCCTCCTGGCAGTTGCCCTGGTGCTGAGATGGGAGCACAGAGACTGCAAAGAAACGGGGTGGGGGTGGAAAGGAGAGGCCCTAGACTTCTGTTCCCACATCTCCGGGAGGCTCACAACTTACCCAACCCCCAGTTCCTTTAGCCGCACCTGTTTTTGTGGCGGGACCCATCTGCCAACCCGAAGCCCTACCCAGCAATGACGTTGCTCACTCTCCCGGAACATGAGGCTGATGCCACTTTGGGGAGGAGCTGCAGATAGCATGTTGCAGAGCCACAGAGCATCACTGCCTTAAGAGAAGACAGCAGGTTGGTGCCGTGCTGTATAGAGCAGTAGTGACCCTCTGCCACAGTATGGGTATGGATCCTTTGGACGTGTATGCTTACATCTCAACCGGTAGATAACCGTTGCTATTTGTACTCCTGGCTTCCTCCTGAAAGCGTCAACCCTCTAATAACCTCTGGTCATTCAGGACCACCTCTCTTCCTCTGCAGTTTCTTTGTCTCTGCTTATCTGTGGCTCTGTAGAGCTCCTGAAGCCTGTGTGATTTGGCACGGGTTAGGAGCCCCTGGAAAGCCAACCTCTGCTCTTCCTCACTCCGTCCACGTACAGTTCCAGTGTACAGTTTACTACAGGCCCGGCTATTTTCCTGACTTTGGAGTAATAGTATTTGGCCTGTAATTAGGGCCTCCTGCCTTAAGACATGTTGCATGTTAGCCTGTTTTTCAAACAGTATCCTTTTACCTTCTGTCTCACAAGGGGTTTTTTTTGGGGGGGGGCGGCATCTAAGGTTTTGTTTTTGTTGGTGGTACAGTTTTTTGGTTAGTCTGACCTTGCTACCCACCTCACAGGGTGTCTGTTGTGGGGAGGGGAAGGGAAAGGAGTTTGTAAGCCGCTCTGAGACACCTTTGGGTAGTGAAGGGCGGGGTATAAATCCAATCTCTCCTTCTTCTTCTTCTTCTTCTAATAGTATTTGGCCTGTAATTAGGGCCTCCTGCCTTAAAAAATGTTGCATGTTAGCCTGTTTTTCAAACAGTATTCTTTTACCTTCTGTCTCACAAGGTTTTGGTGGGGGGGCGTCACCTAAGGTTTTGTTTTTGTTGGTAGTCCAGTTTTTGGTTAGTCTGACCTTGCTTTATTTATGCTCTTGCAGGTTCTCAAATGCTACCCATGAAGCATTCAACGTCACACTTCACACCACGCTGGCCCTCACCACTAAGCTGGTGCTGCCAACGCCCGCCAAGCCAATCCTGCCGGTTGAAACTGGGGCCCAAGCGCAACAGGAGGAACAGTCAAGTGGCATGACAATATTCTTTAGTCTTCTTGTTTTAGGTGAATCTGCATTCTACACTTTCCTTCCATTTATTTTTGAGTCTGTTCTGGAGTTAATGCAGGCAGACAGATGGGGGGGAAATGGAACCCACGAAGCAGCATGTTAATTAGGGTGATGTGTCTCTTTCAAAGGCTAATATTCATGGTGCTGTTGATGAATTTTGAGAAAGGGATGCAATTGCAGGGCTGGATAAAGACTAAGCTGGGAATTTCCACCAGTTCCCCTTTTCCACTGCAGACGCCTGTCGTGTCGCTAATCAGGCAGTCCCATCCCCCCCAGGAGGAGCATTCCATGGTGGTCGGTAGTCTGTGCAGTGGGAGGGGGTGGCGGCAAGAAAGTTCGCTGATAGAAAGTTTAGTGTGGACCAGTGCTCCCTCTAAGCTGTGGAGTCTTGTGAGCAAAAATTCCACTTTGTGAGCTACTGGCGTTAAAGTTGTGAGCCAGCGATTTGGATGCTGCATAAGTTAGTTTGCTCAGGAGCCCTTCCTTCCCGAGCTGAGACAAAAATGTGTGAGCCGGAGGCTTAAAAACTGTGAGCTAGCTCATACTAAGAGGGAACACTGGAACCAACCGAGCTAATGCTTTGAGAAAGTTTTGCAGCTATGGGAATTTGGGGGAAATACAGAGGGATGCCTTAACTAGCTGCGTTCAGAGATTAATAATAAAGTGCCATCAAGTCACAGGCAACTTATGGTGACCCCATCAGTTTTTAAGGCAGGAGATGGACAGAGGTGGTTTGCCATTGCCTGCCTCTGTGTAGCAACCCTGGTATTCCTTGGTGGTGTCTCCTCCAAATACTAACCATGGCTCATCCTGCTTAGCTTGCAAGTGCTGACGAGCTTGGGCTTGTCTGGACTGCTCAAACTGCTGCTCCTTTCAAAGCTAGATTGTATTTCTTTTCAGATCGACACCCCTGCCGCCATACAATGTGTGCAGCAAATTTAAATGGGGGAGGGCCAGACAGAAAATGCCTGGGGACACCCTTATATTCACCCTTCCGAAACACCTTTGGTTTTTGGTGGTGAGGTGGCCAGACAAAAGTATGCCCAGGGGTTGTTTTCTAAAAATGGACCTTGCTGACCAGCTTTAATATGCAGTGCTTCCAAATGTTGCCGGCCAAAATAATTTCACTACCACTGTTTCTAGTTACTGCCTCTCCCACCTGGGCCCTGAGCACCCCCAGCACCTTCGGATTCCTTACCCTTTCAGAATCTTGCCAAATGCCTGGCTCTTTGGCAGCCAAGTCTCCATTTCCTGAGTTCATAGGCCACCACCAGTACCCATTTAAAGTAAAAGGAGGAGAGGCTGGGGCTTGTGCATTACGGTATCAGCCATTGGTGGATTATGCCTTGTCTTGATAAATGGACTATGCTTTCTCTGGTGACAGTAGAGCAAAAGGTTCAATTCCTCTTAGAGATTCTGACTCCAAACGTGCTTATTTCATTGCTCAGTTTCTAGAGGCTGCAGAGAAGTGTGAAGGGAGGTGTTTTTAGACATGGGTTTTGTTTATGTTTCCCTTTCGGTTTTACTGTTCAAGACCTAGGTCTAAGAACAGGGGAAGAAAATTTGGTTTGGATCCTGTTAACAAATCACACCCAAAGAGTGCTTGTTAATGGTTCCTCATCCTCTTGGAAAGGAGTGACAAGTGGAGTGCCTCAGGTATCTGTCATGGGACCTGTTTTTGTTCAATATCTTTATAAATGATTTGGGTGAAGTAATAGAGGGAATGCTTATTAAATTTGCAGATGATACTAAATTGGGAGGGGTAGCGAATATGGTAGAAGACAGAGTCAAGATACAGGATGATGTTGTCAGGCTGGAAAACTGGGCTAAAACAAAGAAAATGAAATTCAGTGGGGATAAATGTAAAGTTCTGCATATAGGTAGGAAAAATCAAATGCATAATTTGGGGAGACTTGTCTTGGCAGTAGTATGTGCGAAAAGGATCTAGGTGTCTTAGTAGACTGTACACTAAACGTGAGTCAGCAGTGTGATACGATAGCTAAAAAGGTCAATGCGATTTTCGCCTGTATCAACAGAAGTATAGTGTCCAGATCACGCAAAGTGATGGTATTGCTCTGCTCTGCTTAGACCTCACCTAGAGTATTGTGTTCCGTTTTGGGCACCACAATTTAAGAAGGATATAGACAAGGTGGAACATGTCCAGAGGAGGGCAATGAAGATGGTGACCTTCTTGAACCATTGCATCATAATATAGCCTTATTGCTTTTATAAAAATACCCTCCTGAATAATTCTACATAGTTTGTAGAATGCTGGAAGTGGAGGGGGGCCCTTCTTGACCTTCTAGGCATGCCAGTACACAAGGAGGTAGCCACAACAGATAAAGCCTGTCTTATTTTTTTTACTGGTGCATAAGGAATTACATAGATTAGACGTTTTGTTACTGTAGCTGGCTGTGTTTCCCCAGTGCAGTCAGTGGCAAACTTCTGCTTTCCTGATCAACAGAACATAAGAACATAAGAGACGCCAATATTGGATCAGGCCAAAGGCCCATCCAGTCCAACACTCTGTGTCACACAGTGGCCAGAAATACCAGGTGCCATCAGGAGGTCCAGCAGTGGGGCCAGAACATTAGAAGCTCTCCCACTGTTAGAAGCCCTCCCACTGTTGACCCCCCCAAGCACCAAGAAGACAGAGCATCACTTGCCCCAGAGCCCCTATCCTATACCTTGTGGCTAATAGCCACTGATGGACCTCTGCTATAGTCTGCTCTGGTTAGACCTCACTGTGTTCAGTTCTGGGCACTGCAGTTTAAGACGCGTGTTGACAAACTGGAATGAGGCCAGAGGAGGGCAACGAAGATGGTGAGGGGTCTGGAGACCAAGTCCTATGAGGAAAGGTTGAAGGAGCTGGGTGTGTTTAGCTTGGAGAGGAGATGACTGAGAGGTAATATAGCCGTCTTCAAGTCTTTGAAGGGCTGTCATATAGAGAGCGGAGTTGTTTTCTGTTGCCCCAGAAGGTCGGATCAGAACCAACAGGTTGAAATTAAATCAGAAGAGTCTTCGACTAAACATTAGGAAGAACTTCTTGACAGCTAGAGTGATTCTTCAGTGGAACAGGCTTCCTAGGGAGGTGGTGGGCTCTCTTTGGAGGTTTTTAAGCAGAGGCTAGATGGCTGTCTGACAGCAATACTGATTCTGTGAATTTAGGCAGATCATGAGAGGGAGTGCAAGCAGGGAAGAGCCCATGCTCGGCTTTCTTGGCCCTTATATGCCCAGGGAAATGATTTGGGGTCAGGAAGAATTTTCCACCAGGCCAGATTGGTCCAGGGATCTTGGAGGATTTTTGCCTTCCTCTGGGTGTAGAGTAGGGGTCACTGGGGGAGTTGGGGGGCAAGTAGTTGTGAATTTCCTGCATTGTGCAGGGGATTGGACTAGATGACCCTTGAGGTTCCTTCCAGCTCTGTGTTTCTATGTGGTTAACATGGCTGCTCATATGGTGGCACTTTCTGATATAAAAGAATACTGTTAACTTGCTGCTTCCCAGAAATATGTACTCTCCTCTGTTGATGGTGTGTGGTGATGACACAGCTGTCTAGCCTGTAGGGTGAGAGTTGCCTGTGAAAACCCTTGTGGATGAGTGAATGCACAGAGCCTAGGCCTCCAGTAGTGTCATTCTATGGGAAGTCTCTACTTAGCTTGCTTTAATCCCTGCAAATCCTCAGGGCCCACCCAGTCTGTAGCTGCTTTCACTCGCCGCTGAGCACTGTCTGCATATGTGAGTACAGGAAAAAGTCCAGGTGTCTCGTCTTGTGGGGTTGGGGTATCTCCATGTCTGCCCTGAGAAGTTCAATTATTTATGTAAGTCTGCCTCTCTTGCCACAACTCAAATAGAATTACACAATTAATGCAATAAAACAGCATAATACATACAATAAGCAGTGCCATAAAACTGAATTACAGAAATTAGAGACCAGTGGGTTAAAAACAGATAACATAAAACTGCACGAAGGCGGTAATACAACGTGCAACAATAAAGGAATAAACTGGATTGTAAAATTAGAGAACAGTGCAATAAAACAGCAGAATATACACAGTGAGAACTGCAATAACAGGCATCAACTGCAACCCTGTCCCCTTTTATAAAAAAAATATCCCCATGAACAATACCATTGTATACAGTCTGCGGAATGAGAGAGACATGGGAGGTTTCCTGACATCCTCCATCAGGCCATTCTGCCAGGCAGGAGCCACAGCAAAGATGGCTTTGGTACACGCTGCTGTCGGTCTCACCCATTTGCTGGGCCACATCTTCAGAAGGCTTTGCTCAGAGGAGCAAAGCTGCTGAAACTGAGTGTAAGGAATGATACTTGTGATGTTTCCGCTATGATTCCAGCCAGTGTCAGTTCTGTCATGCTGCCTGTAGTAGTTTGCTTGGGCCCAGTTGCCCCTATGTGTATTCAGGCTTTGATGTCTCACCATGTGATGGAAGACATGAAATACTTATGAGTGTTGGTTTAGGTGGGGATTGCTTGCCCTATATTTGCATTTTGCAGGCATTCGTTTATTTATATCCCTCTTTTCTCCCCATTTCAGACTCATAGAATCATAGAGTTGGAAGGGGCCATACAGACCATCTAGTCCAACCCCCTTGCCCAATGCAGGACCAGCCTAAAGCATCTCTGACAAATATTTGTCCAGCCTCTTCTTGAAAGCTGTCAGTGAAGGGGAGCTAACCACTCAAAGCAGCTTTTAGAATATTGTCATTCCCTCCTCCCGTTTTCCCACAACAAGAGCCCTGTTTGTGATGCGATTTCCCCTGGCAAAAGTAGGGATTTGAACCTGGGTCCCCCAGACTCCTAGTCTGCCACTCTATGTGTTACACCATACTTGCTCTGGGGAGGTGATTTTGGGAAGCATCCTTCCACCATACATGTAGGTCAAAGACGTCTCAACAGGCTGATGTCCTGTTGACGGTGCTGGCCCTTTGGATACCTTAAATAAGAACTGGCCAGATATGCACGAAGGTTCTCCAGTT